TCTTTAGCTACACTTGTTCAAAAAATCAAGTAAATCGGGAGTTGCATTTCCATACTATGATTAATTAACTGAGACCACCTCATTTTTAAAATCTTAAAATCGCTCTCCTGAAAAGTTGCAAAAAATGAGTTATGCCCTTTTGTAAAATGGGCGACGATAATAATAGAACTAATTTTGGACTACCTATGAATTGTATTTGTAGATAAATAAAGCAATAATTTGACAATAAAAAAATATTTTTGTACAAAAATCTTAGAAAATCTATGTCCGTTAGGAATGTATCAATGGAATCTACCCCATATATAATCATACTAGATAAAACTGCGTGACAAAGTGGTTATATTTGAAGACAGTAACGATGTTACCGGTTTTCTTTTATACGTACAAACCACAGTTAGGATATTATTATCAAGATCCTGAGTCCTTCGGTAAGGACTCGTTTAACCGGTTGTTAATTTGTTGTAGTGCAAAAGTGATACAAAATCAGTCAAGTGGTTGACCGAATTTAAGCACGGGAAAAGCTTTCACTGTTATTACTTCAATCAGATTCTACAGGGTGATTACAACCATTAAAAATTTAATGTAAGCTTTTGTATAAGTATAATTTATGATTATTGTTTAAGCAATTACAAATCATATCAAGTTGCAGAATTCTATGGAAGAAATTTATAATTTTTTTATTGCTCCGCGCCCATAAGTATTAATCATTAATAATATATTTACAACAAATTAATAATAAATAATGAGAGTCTGTGAGATATTTAACATTATAAGAATTATTACCAATTTATAAAGTGACTTACCCATTACGAATAAAGATATTAATCAGTTCTAAATTAAATTTGTTCGTATCATTTTGCACTTTCAAATTTCATTTATACATACATAAATCGGGCAAATGTGCATTATTTTCAATGTTGTGAAACAACAATGTTACTCCTAAATTTAAACGTATTATTGTTCCATAAACACTAATCTGTTCTCTTAGAGTTGCATGAAAGATTATTTAGCTCTGCTCTACACAGCAAAAAAACTATAACAATGTTTAAGAAAATCATTTTAGGATATTTTTTATTGAACAGTTCTATATCCTACACCTTATAATTGAATTAAAGATCTGTTCTATTAGTATTTTCTTTAATATATTTTTACGTTAGCGGGTAAGATACTCCTCTAGAACTAATCTGTAAAAAATATTTCATTGCGTCGGTAAGAGAGGGAATATAGTATATTTCTATTTCACAATAGACAGAGTCATATAAAAACTATAAATAAGCAATAACATATGTATCGCTGTATCGCAGAGTTGTGGATATTTTTTATAATAAATGCTTAAAATGTCCCTACCTTTGTATTTCATACCTGACAGATATGATTTTATCTGGTCTTAGGACATTCTCATTCAGAAAATTCTTTAGCGAAACAAGTTGAGATTTAAGACAACAATTACGCCCTCTAGCGATCGACCTAGAAAGCAGAAAATAATTATAAGCGATTTTTTAGAGATGTACCCAGCTTTTCTTATTGGACCACACGGTACAGCAATGCCTTTACATAATGCGTGGATGAAAGCGGATGGGGCCCTAAACTTGTTTGTATTCACGAACACATCCCATCTTATCTCATCACAAATATCAGGAAAGATCAGCAAAAATTTCTTAATTTTATGTTTTCTCCATCGCGTGTTTTTCGGTAACGTAACGAGCTTTCGGAAACTAATACAATTTCGTAACAATTATCACTGTTTTTGCGATATTATTGCTGATAAGTAAATCAGGATTTGAAAACGTCACTAATTATACCCATATAGTTTAATATTATAGGTTAACAAAATAATTTAATAGATAGTAATACTAACATTTTTGGTAATATCTTCGTTGAAATTTTATAACAAATATAGCATATATTTCAAAATAAAGTGAAATTTCCATTCAAATGAACCCTGATTGCCATTTAAAAAGCGGTATTATAAAGGACTGCACTGTTTAAATTTATAGAGCGTATATGTTAGTACAGAAATGTTTTAAGGATTGTCGTAGAAAAAAGAACATAAAACCAAAATTAAAAGTTGTCAATTAAGGTAACGTATAAATAAGAATAACATTTAAAGGCATTATAACCACACGTTTATTATTTTTGTTCTCGAATGCTTTCTGTAATCAGGAAGCTGCAACTGTCAACTGATCATACATTCCGTGTATTTACAGTTATATATTCACTCCCTGTATTCGGCAGACATAAATTTTAAATAACCAATTATGATTCTTTTGTGTATTTTGATAGTGTCATTCCATTATATATGGAGAAATGTTAGTATAAATAAAAAGAGGGGTATAAAAGAAATATCCGAAGATTCAGGTAGAGGCCTCATTGTGATTCAAGTCACCAAAAAGCGTAGGAGCTGATTTGATTCAGTTGTGGAATTTTTATATTTCACATGATTTGATAAATGTGTGTATTTTGGTCACGATTTGGTATTTTCGGTTTTATGGTGTTTAAATATACCACATGGATTATTAACTATACATAACACATAAATCTTTTACACTGTTATAAAAAACGCTGTTGTAAGAAATTGTTCACACTACTCTCAACTTTATGTTCAACTAATAAAAAATATAAAATTATAATGTATGTAAAACCATTAATAAATAAAACAAATTTCAGTAACAAAATTAGAAATATTTATACATAAATTAAACGAATAGATTACTTTTAATTTGTTAGTTTATGCTTCAGTAAACATTATCACACTTAAGTTCTATAAGTAATTATTGTTAAAAAGAGTAATAAGAAATTCTTTGAAGATAGTCTTGTTTCTTTTATTAAATATTGATCTAATTTAAAATCGGCAAAAAAATTACCAAAAACTTGTAAATGCCAACCAAGCTAATAACATTTTCAAATTAATCATTGACTGAATTAACATCAGACTTCCCCGCTGTCAATATAGACAAATAAAATAAGCCAGTCTAATTAATTCCATTACTAAAAAAGGAAAAAACCTCCGCATATACGCAGAGTAAATATTAAATTGATTGACAGTTGCTCCAGAGATTTTATTTAAAATTAATGATTAATAAATTAATTTAGCCATCAATGAGGTAAATTGTGCCTGCAGGCATTGTTCCTTAGTTTTTGCGCTTCTTAAACCTGTTCAAACAATTTAATTAATGTGAAAAACGAATAAATAAAAAAATATCAATTGCATAAATAGTTTCAGATGCGTCCGGATGCTTACTAAGCAGATTTATTTTTTATTAGTCAAATAACTTGCGTGTTTGAAATATTAAACGTAGTAATAACTGTTAATACATTTTCCTTTTAACAAAAAAAATATATTGATATGGGATTCATTGATGTGGAAGAAGCATTTGATCCGGTTAATATAGAAAGAATTTACATATTTATAAGTTGGAAAATAAGCTATTGCGAACTATAAAGGACAACAGATAATAAAATTAGAACAATCAAATTTACCAAAAAGACCACCTCTGTTTATACAGGGTGTCTCATAAGTATCAGTACGAGAACCAGTGGAGGTGATCTTTTAATGATAGAAAATGTGGCAAAAAGGGACCGATATAGAATAATCGGGAACGGAGTAATCAGATGAAAGTCTAGTAGCTTGAGGACCAAGATGAAATGAGAAAGAAGTACAGTTTTGTGAAAAACTTCCAAACCTCAGAGTATAAGAAAGAATGGATCCAAAAATCCATCGTGTTTGCAACCGAAAGACATGCTATTCAGTGGTATACGGACGGTTCCAAAACTATAGAAGGAACTGGAATAGGAGTGTATGGGCCTAGAACCAGGCTCTCTGAAAGATTAAGAAAATACCCAAGCATCTTCCAGGCGGAAATTCAAGCCATTGAGAAGTGTATCCAGTTTAACATCGTAGACAAGAGATTATCATCATATCCGATAGCCAATCAGCCATCAAAGCGCTGAGCTCTTATGTAATCAGCTCAAAAATGGTCTGGAGATGCCTAGAAAAATTGAATGAGCTACCCATAGAGGATAGTACCACGGACCAAAGCTTGGCCTAACTATATAGAACTTTGGGCCAGTCTTGGGTCAGCCTTGGTAGGAGTCTGGAATGATAATCTCGGGCCAAACTTGGTTATCAAGACTGGTCCAAAGTTCATTGTTATGGTAATGCCATACTTAAATGTTATGACTGGCCCAAACTTCATTTTAAAGGCTGGGCCGTGCGTCATTGCCAGGTCTGGCCATATTTGATTACCAAAAATTCGCCATGCTTGGTTTCCAAGACTGGATTACTTGTAATTGCCCGAATTAAGTCAATAATTGTATAATAAAAAAATAATTATATCCATACCATCAGATTCACTATCACTACTACCGTTAAAATCACTATTATTAAAATCATTGTTCAACGTCTGTAAATTACATGGTTCTGTACCACTGGGATAATTAACCTGATCTACACTGCTGTTAGAAGTTTAATTACTTGAACTTGGCACTTTAACACCTAAAATGCTTTCTGTATTTAAAACTTTTTTTTGTTTTAACTCACGCCAATTTTTAACTCTAAGGTATGAATCAGACATACCGATATCTATCAAGTAGCAACAAAAAGTACGATTTAAAGGTTAACAATAAAGAAACTCAACTACAAATACGCACATAAAAATAGTTCTACTGTTTCTGTGAGTTCTCAATGTTAATGTGTTCCTTCTTCTATTACTACCCACTACTCGCACGCCTCGCTCAGTAATAATAATGTACTAAACAAAATATACTAAACGAAACTATATACACTAAATTACCACATCTGAGAATCCCAGTCTTGGCACAAAGCTGGGAAACCACAGGTAAGGCCGAGGCTCGGTTATTTAGCCCTGGGTCTGCCATTCTTGGCCCAATTCTAGTTAGCCAGTGAATGGGCATTCCAGCCTTGGCCTAGAACTGGGAAAACATAGTTAAGGCCGAGGCTTGGTTACCCAGCCTTGAGATAAGGATGGTCAAATACAGGCATGGCCAAAGCTGGGTCTTCCGGTCTTGGCCCAGAACTGGGAAACCACAGGTAAAGCCGAGTCTCGGTTACCCAGTCCTGGGCCAAATATGGTCAAACACAGGCTTGATCAAAGCCGGGTCTCTCAGTCTTGGCCCAAGGTTGGGAAACCACAGGCATGGCCACGGTTGAGTACCCAGTCCTGATCCAAGTATAGGCCAATATAGGTACGCCGAAGCTAGGTTCCCCAAGCATGGCCCCTTTGTCCAACTCGGAGAATTCCTGTATGGGTAGGCGAGAAAAATACAGTTACTCTTACTTGGGTTCCGGGACATAACAGGGTACAGGGCAACGAGATTGCAGATAGTCTCGCAAAGAAAGGGACTCAAACACTGTGGGTGAATATAACCAAAAAAGATCGGCAGTCTGGTACTGTCTGAGCAAGAATAAGCTACATATTGTAACAGTACATTGCCGACTCCAAGGACACCTTAGTAAACTGAGAATAGTAGAAGATAGTGAGTGCACTTTTCGACTGAATGTGTAGCACCCCAGAATACAAGGACACTATATCTAGGAGCACATCAAATAAATGTGGGAGATTTACCTAACTTGAAGCCATTCCAAATCCTACACTTCCTTGAGAAGATAAGCATTGATACACTTCCTTGCTGCATTAGCGACAGAAGGGACCACAATAGATCTTTTAGGTCGCAGTGTATTAATACCTAATTCCCAACATAGTACCGTTATCTTTTAATGAGGTGTAGAATTCCATAAACCAAACATTTTCATTTCATAAGTTGAATCCTTTCATTTATAAGTTAGTAGATATTAAATTGTAATTATTGGAATTGGCTATGAATTTTAAATGTTTTAATTTAGTAGTTTCGCCACTTCCACACAACGACATTTTAACCTTGAAATTAAAACTAAACGTTTGTGTCAATTTTGTCAAAACTTTTAATAAGTACATTTAAAAAGATTTAAATTTCACAACCAACTTCAATGATGATTTTTCCTAATGGTTCGTTATTATTAAAAAAAATATATAATTAAGTACCTTAAGTTTTTATGAAAACTAATCAAATGCGGGTTATTTATATATAAGTGTGAGAAAATCGAAACAAATTTGAATATTTCACTGCCAGCATGCGTTCAATTATTTAAGCCTATAAAATAACTTTCAAATAATAAATTTTGATAATTCATGGTATTTCCTAAATTTCTGACATGCCCAAATGAAGTTCAGGATATTATTCTTTAATGAGGCTTGCCAGTCAAGGTTCTTTATACTATCCGTCTCGTCATAATTTTTATTGTAGACTTTTAAGGTATAGAATACTAATAATATTTATATAAGGATGAACAGTTATGTTTAACATGTAAAATCTTATAAAACAAAGATCGATTAGCCGCTACATAAGACGGAAAACTTTTAGATGAAATCATTTGTGTTAATTAATATAATTATTTTCTTTTAATCAGATTTGAATGACGAATGACTTATTTAATGTAGGCTAACTGTAAATTACTTTCTAAGACTGGAAATTTAGAGCAGATAACATTTTTTCCTTAAACATCTTATAGAATTATCTAATCTATTATTTGTCGAATTACTAATGATTGATAGATTAATCGAATAAAAAAAAAAAATAAAAAAGATGGAATTCTAAAATGTATTTTAATTTTCAGTGAAGTACTGATGAATTTAAATTTAGGCTTTAAATGCTTTTTTAACCAATTTTCTCGCTTAAACTATTATCTTAAATCGCCAATAATTTTATTTGAAGTTTTTTCTTTGTTTAGTACATTACATAAAAATTTTAATTTTGAAAAAATAATATAATGTTGATAATTATCTAAATGATGTTTATTTTTTATAGGTAGGTATCATGTTAATTTTTTTAATTTTTAATATAAAAAATGACATCCTAAAAAATCACGAATTTGTCCTAGAACCAAGTTCATTTGCTATAAAGATTTATGGTTTAATTACAAATTTATTTAATGAATATTTTAATTCAAATTTCAAACACGTGGAGGAATATCAAGGTAATGTTTATTACTTTTTGGAAGAAAATGTGTCAAACTATTAAAAGTGATATAAATTAGTTATGATTTACTTTATTAAATTGTTGGCCTGATTTCATCAAACATTGAAAATCTACATATTTAATTAATTACAACCATTAATACAACCATTTTCTGCCTTGTTTCACAATAAGATATACGAAGAGTCTTTTTTTTATAAATATAAAATCAACTGATTTGTTTCATATATACTATACATGTACCAACTTATTTATCAAAAATTTAAAAAAATATGTGCAAAAATTTAACAGATTTAAATCAGTAAATGCTTATTAAAACTAACAAAATAGTTTAGCAGCTACAATATTGCAGAATTTAGTGTGATTAGTTGGACATAAATTCTTTAAAATAAAACAATTTATTTTGACACTCATTCTTAATTTTAACAACTCAACTGTGTACCACTGTAACAAAAATGATACTCTTTTTCTTACACTATTTCTTTATTTTTAAAACGCAAATTTTAAAATAATTTTTTGACAACAATGCCAAAAGTCAAAGAAAAATCTTTAAAAGATTGCCATGTTCTTTCAGAAACCATAGTAAATAAAATTTAAATAATTAAACCATAAATACATGAATCTGCAAATAGACACTTGTAGAGATGTTCATGATATTCTGTGAAATAAAAGTCATACATAATTTAAATTAAATTTAATAAAAAAATAAATGAAAGTGATATATTAACAATATTTGAGCATTAAATTATGCAAACGTTCTTTGCTCAAGAGAGAAATAATGATATATTAACAATATTTACCCAATTCATTTGAAGAAATATATGAATAATAAAATAAGAAGGTTTATTTATACCTATCCGAGACGTCTTGTTAAAATTAAGGTATATTGTTTTGAGTACTCAAAATAATATTTACAAACGGGTTGTAAATAAAAGAAACAAAAAGTATTCCTAAAACTAAGTCATACAGAAAATAAAGAAACACCCGTTTCAAAATATAAGTATAAGTGTCTAAATAGACATCCTAGGTCTGACAGCGGCACTAGAAAGAGCCCTCTGTTTAGGCTACACACTGCACACCGAAGCTCATCATGTTACAGGACTGCTTGGGGCACGGGACCATCGTAAGAACGTTTGAAATAAAAAGGAAATCTCTGCTTCGCAGGGTAAATAAAACGGACCAGCATATTGGCAAGACAGAATTCCATTCTGTAGCTTTCTGAGAATAACCACCCACGGTTGATGTGGCAGGAGCTGCAAAGGAAATGACCTCTTTTGAGGGTTTTCTCTGCTACCGGGATCCAGCAACACGTGGAAGAAAGTATCTTTCGGCGTCTCACTTGCCTCAGATTTTGGTCAAAAACCAGGTTCATCCATAAAAGTAACCTAAACATTGGCACGAGGGCCCTTGGACAAAACAAAAAGCTCGTAAACTTATTATTACTCAACGCTATTTAACACAATGCGGAGCTAAATCCCAACGGCCATCTTCTTCCAAAAATCAAATCGGAAAGGGCCAAAAAAAATGTTGCAAACCTATTAAGACCAAAAAGAACTAGTGTTCAGCCAGTTTCTCGTGTCTCATATTTATGGTCAAATATAATTAAAGAAAAATAATTATTATAAAATTATAAAATAAAAGAAATGGAATGATAAAAAATTAAAATAAAACCCTTACTCTATTCCTATGTTGTTCCTATAGGCAGATCAAACGAACGTAGCTATTTGTGAATTGTACCAGACTGCCAACACTGGTTTGGCAACCTTGTTTGTGAGCGGCGCGCCAATTAATGTGTTCTTTGACAGTTTGAAGGATCTGTTAGCGTGTTGTCTTCTCTTTTTAGCTATGTGCATTCGGCATATCGTCTCACTCGTGTTAGGCTCACTCATCATGTGCCACAGACACAATATACTTAGGTATATTGTGACACAGAGAGGCGATCAGCCAGAGGACAATGATGTACAAAAAAATATAGATTAACACGTATGAAAATAAAAATATTAAAATTAAATTTATATTTTTATGTTATTTATGTAATATTAAAATAATGTGTTTTTATGAAATTTAACTGGGTGTTCACTGCATAAATGAACAAATTTATTTGATTTAAAAAAAAATATTTCTTATTTATTAATGATCGTAAGTAAAACGTTCTTGACATCAAAAAGCGAGTTACAAAGCTATAGTATTACGAAAATATGTTTTTATGTACTGTATACCATAAATAAAAGCTTTAAAAATAATAAAATTATATACATATTATCCATAATTAAATTTGCGTGCTATTTGATTTTGTACCGACGAACCTAATGTACTAAATTCATTTAAAATTATTATTCCTCGCTTCAGACTTTTTCATCTCAAGAACACAACACAACATGATCATGAATCCTGCTTTCAACGTGGGAGGCGCGCAAGTTGCTTTAATAAATATTTAATCGTTTTTATTTTAGTCCTGAGGAATCCACAGGATTAATAACTGCTCGAGATTTAACTAATTTTTTAAGGATCAATCATTGCTATCAACAATTGACATTTACGATTTCTACAAGAATGGTTTTTCGTTTAATAATAAATATTGTTCGCGGCATTTCATTTAAAATTCATTCTTTATCACCTTTTAATAACAGACTTCTTATAATCTTGTTGTTAAGATAAAAAAATCATAAAGGTTCTTAGGAAAACAATGAATATTGCAAAATTCTTGGAAAATACTTTTCATCATAATAATAAAATCTATCGTTTTTGAGACACAAAATTAATTTATAGACATTTAATAACTCAAAAACAAGCATGTTATTAATAAATGAGTGAAGTAATACTATAGATCGTTATTACCTACCTTTTTATGTTTCGAAATGATCTATTTAAGATATATGAATGATCACGGAGAAAAATATTTTTCGTTGTAGGATATGCCGTGTAATTATTCACAGTGCTTTATGACGTAATAAAAGTTTTTTACAAAAAGGCCGTAACATTGCAATCGAAAGTGCAACACGGATAAACGTCTCGTAA